CTGTGCCTTCCACAGTATATCAGTAGTTCCTTTAATCCTCTCCAGGATCTCAGTGAGACAGAAGGCTGTCCATAGTATTCCAAGGGTGTTCATATGCTTTTAACAACTGTGTGATTTTAAGGCCTTCAAAAGTGTTTGTTAGAATTAAGTTATTCACTGGTTTCAGGGATTTTTCTAGTGTATCACTGGAATCTCCAGGTCAGTCTGAGACTTGTGGCCTTTCATACTCAGTCAATAGAGTGTGATTCTTTCCTTGCCCAGAATATCAACGAGTTTTATGGTCTCTACTCTCTCAGTTGTGTTCAGGGAAAGTCTCCCAGTATTTTAACATTTTTTTCCCTTCCTCCGGAATTCAGTGGATCTCTTGGATATTTTCAGAATCTCAATGTGGTTCAGGATGTTTTCCAAATTTTCACAGAGCCAAAAGCATTGCCCAAGTCCTCAGTGGGATTCATGGCCATTACCAGGCTCTTTCTTTTGCTCAGAATATTTTGCAGTGTCTCAGTCTTGTTCAGTGCTATTCCAAGTCTCATCTTGGTTTAGATATTTCCCCAAAGACACACTGGTTTCAGTGTCAGTAAATCTCAGCCCCTTTCCCAGGTCCTCAGTGGAGTTCACTGGCATTCCCAGGGTCACAGTGGTTCCCAGGGCCTTCTCTTATTGGTGTCACTGTCTTGCCAAGCACTCAGTGAAGCTACAGTTTTCCTGTGTTACCCTGATGACCAGAGTCTACCCGAGTCTTCATGACTCTCAGGGCCTTTTTCATGATATCAGAAGGGATCAGGGGCTTTTTTTTGTCAGTGTGTCTCATGACCTATTCTAGGGTCTCAGGAGGGCTCAAGGCCTTCCTCAGAATTTCAGTCATGTTTAGAAACCTCCACATGTTCTTCATGGTGCCCAGATTATTGCCCACTGCTTAGAAGAGGGTGATGGCCTCCATAAATGTCTCAGTGTGTTAATCACTGTTTGCTCAGTGGTGTTAAAATTTCTTCAGAGTCTTAAGAATGCTAAAGGCCTTAGGTTGGCAGATGTATTCACAGCCTTCCTAGGAGTCTTTGTGGTCCCCCTGACCTTCACAGGTTGTAAGGTCAGATGAGCACCATTCCCATGATCACCTTGTGCTCAGGTTCCTTCCTGGGGTCTTAATAGGTCTCATTGCCTTTCCTATACCTCCCTGGACTTCAGAGCCATCCACAGTGTCTCCTTTTTTTCCTTGAATTTATAGAGTTTCTCCATAGGCTCAGTGCTATTCTCAGAGTATCAGGTGATGGTTAGAGCTTCCTCCAGCATCAGAGTGACACTGAATCTTCCCAAAGGAAACATTGGGTTTAAGGCCTTTCAGGTTGTTTTTTTTTTTTTTTTTTTTTACTGAATCCCAGGGACTTTTTCCAGTGTCTGTGGGGCTCAGTGCCATTCCCAGCATCACAGTGGTGCTCAGGATATTCTTGGTGTTTAATTGAGTGTTAGAGCCTTCCCAATATCATAGTGAGGCCTGGGGCCTGCGCTAATCTATCAGTGGGTTTTAGGATGCTTCACAATATCTAGTGATGTTTAGATTTTCCCCCAGAATTCTTGGAAAATATTGTCCTTCACTAGTGTCTCAATGGGGATTAGTTCCTTGCCTAGTGTGTCATTGAAACTCAGGGATATTCACATTGTCATAGTGTTGCTCAGGGCCTGCCCACTCTGTCAGTGGTACTCAGGGCTACTCCATGTTTCTTAGTGTAAGCTCAGGGCTTTCTCCAGAGTCTGAGTCTGGCTCAGTGCTTACTTTAATGGCTTATAGGACCTCAGAGTATTTTCTAGAGGTTTTTTTTAAATTTTAGATATGATTCAGTCTCAGATTTTACCCCAGTGCTTCTGTGAGAGTAAAAGCCTTTAGTAGCTTCTCAGGGGGATTTTGGGCCTCTACCAGCTCTAAATGAGTTTGTGGACCTTTCTCTGATTTTTCTTTTTTTTTTTTCTGCTCAACAATAAAACTCAAGTTTTTTCCATATTCCTTAGAAGGATTCATACTTTCCACAGTGTATCAGTAGTTCTCAGGACAATCTCCAAAATTTTGCTATGATTCAGTGTTGTCCATATTATTTCAAGGGGTACTCAAATGCGTTCAATAATTTTGTACAATTTTAAAGGCCTTAAAAAGTGTCTCTTGGCATTCAGGCTTTCACTGGTGTGTAATTGGTGTTGAAAGCTTTTCCCAGTGTATCACTGGAATTCAGGGCTTTCCAGGTCACTAATGAGGCTCATGGCCTCTGGGACTGATTTTAGTGAAGAGTGGAGTCAGGAGTTGTGGAATGTTCTAGATAAATCACTGGATGAGGCTTGAAGGAAGACATGGACATTTATTCAGTGTGGTCAAGGGCCACTGACCACATTGCCTCTGCATATCTCAACCCCTTGCAAAAAATAGGGTATCTCTTTTGTAGCCCAAACCTGCAAAATACCAGTAATTAAAAGCTATAGCTATATAGTAGGTGGGTCAGAATGACCCAGTTCAGGGTACAGTACACTTCCCATGAGAAATATCAACTGAAAGAGAGCATCTTACAACTGTATTTCTTGATAATACATTGTACAAGAACAATAAAAACATTTTTCAATCACCATGGCTTGCCAAACAGTGTGTGGTTGGCAGGAGGTGGTAGAGGCAGAGGTTTCTCATGAAACAAATCTTTCTTATTGAAATGGAGTCTAAAGGTAGAATGGAGTTTGTCTGATCAAGGAACATGTAGTTTGGTTTGTGATATTACAATTTTATCTAGAAACAATCAAACCCTTGATTTACCTTCTGAATCCAGAAAGAGGTTGTAATTGCCAAACAAATATGATAATTTGACTGACAAAATATGTTATTTTAGCAGCTAGGGTTTTATAAAACAGTCTGAGTAGTAGACAAACATGAGCAACATGTTTTATTCTTATATTTAGAGGGAGGTTGGGGCCTCTGAGGGCTATTTACTCTTTGCTTTTGTTCTTTCTTCTTTCTTTCTTTATTCAGCAGAAACCTTTGTGCTGTTTGCATAGTTTCCTGTCTGGAATGGGTGTTGGAAATCAGTTGTCTCTTGGGGTTTGTTCTCCCTAAGGAATTTATGAGCTTCAGGTTGATCCTGTTGAAGAGACTTAACAACAGGTTGGAACAGGAGTATGTTATCTTAGGTAGGGTGGAGGAAGGGCTCTGAAGGTACCAACATTTAATCCCCCAGAGGTGGTCTCCAACTTTTTTTGAACCAAACCAGTCCCCATTTTTTTTGTGTGTGTGTGATCTGACCCAATTACCTCTCTACACTGACTGATATTTTTATTTTATTTCCCCATCCAATTCTAGGGACTCCTTGCTGCTGTAATAAAAAGGGTGAGGATCACTCTTGCTGCTAAAAAGTTATAGGGGGCATCATGGCAGGGGGACAAGCAGTTGAAGTCCCCTTTTAGAGATAGGTTTGGTCAAGGGGTCCATGTGAAGAACAGGTTGTAAAATTAACTTGGGGTTTGTGTGGGAAGCCACTCCTGAGGTATTTATTGTCTTCACTTGGCCTTGAGCCAGGGAGAATTTGGTTTGGCATTGCGAGTCATTTTGCGGCTTCTCCCACTTAATGAATTATGCAATGCAAGTGACTTAAGTCTTAGATTGGCTGAAGGGGCTGCTCTTGTACCTCCAGAATTAGGTATGACCCACTGGGCCTGGACAGCCCACCTCCTACCTTATTTGGCAGAAGAATATTGTATTGAAAATCTTTGAAGTTTCTCCATATATAATAAAGCAAATTTTGGGCTCACTCTTCCCAGTGTGGAAGTTTGATTTGTAAGGTCAAAGAGCTGTCTCACGCCTGCTTTTCAAAATTACTTTCTGTGTAGTGTGGTTTTTCTGCTGCCTTCTTTTCTTGGCTGTATTTCACAGCTAGACTGCTTTATGCAAAAGAAACCCCAAATTCCACCACCTGTGCAGGATGTTGTGGGGAGCCACTCCAAATGCATGCACCTTTAAGTCCTGATGCACCACAGGGATCTGTACTGTAGTCTGGCATGGTAGTGCCATGGCTCATGACTGTGTTTTATTGTGGGTTGAATTGTAGAAAGTAAGTGAATTAGACAGAAGAAAAATCTGTGGCATTATACTTTTTAATATTTTGGAATATTTTGTCTTTAGGAAGAAAAAAATCAGTTTTTACAATTCTAGAGACTCTAATTGTGAAGAATTATTAAGATGACATGGGATATGTTAAGTTCAATCCTCTCCCATGGGAAAAGCGCTTCTGTGGACTTTTTTGGATTGTTTCTATGAATCTTTATATTTTGAAATATTAGGTAAATTTTTTGAGGGGTTTATGCACTAGAAGTCTGCACTAAGAGAGTGAGAAAAAGAAAAGAAAGATTTTTTGATAATACTTAATACAAGGATTCTTTACCTGTAGAGAAGTGAATTTTATTTTTCTATTGTTCTTGTGAATACTCAGACAGTTTATGCTGAACCTCTTTGCTACATTCTTGACCTACCACATCAGAATCAAAAGACTTTAGCCACTGTTCTGTAATGAGGTCTGTAACTAGACCCACCACCAGCAGTGCTTTTAACCTTTAAACAACCTGACCCAGGTGCCAAATGCAGACTGCCTTAAGATCTGATAGTAACACTGGCATCTGCTGTTGAAACACATATTTTAAAGTTCACGTGCTGCAAGGGAAAATGCAAAAGACAGAAGAACACCAGTTCAGCAAGCACAGGGAGCAGAGACAAGGCAAGCTGCTACCCACCCTAGGACCCTCCCCAGCTGCAGAAAATACAAACAAATCAAATGGAATGAAAGTGGCTAGGGAAGCTCAGGGAGCCTTTGCCCCAGACAAGGAACAGCTGGTCCCTGCTGTTTCCATCACCAAGGTAACAACAGGAAGCCTGGAAGGCCCAAGCTGGTTTCCTGGTCCTGCCTCCTGTATGTTCCTGGCTTCCCATTGGTCCTTTCACTGTCACTCACACAGGACTTCTGGTCCCGCTTTCCAGCCACTATCCTGTACTTCCTGTTGCATCCCTGCTACCAGGAGCTGCACAGAGACTGCATTTTCAACAATATCCACCTATAAATACTAATGAAAGGTCTTTTTTCAGGCAAAATTTAATTCCACCTGTTTCTGCATTGCATCCCTGAGCTTAACTTTTTCAAAGTTTCAAAGGTAACTTACCTTTTTTTCTTTATTCTGTATTATTAAGAAAAATTGCAGAGATAATGTAACAATTATAAGACATACATATGCTTCTTTATATTTTGCTTTTAATTTTGAAGGTTTTGAGGAGGCATTTGCTTGTCACAGGGACAAAAGCCGGCAATGTCCCTGTGATAATCGAAGACCTCATTCTCATTCCTGAGTATAAAATTACAAGACATAAGTAAATGTATAAAGAAGGATCTTAATATGTTACAGCAGAAATATAAAACAATGCACTACTACTTGAAGGAAAATTAAAATGGATCCAAATATCATAAGAACCACAAGGTTGCATAAAGTTAATACAATTATAATTTATGCCCTTAATCTTTTTTTTTAAAATTTTTTTGAATATTTATTTTTTAGTTCTCGGCGGACACAACATCTTTGTTAGTATGTGGTGCTGAGGATCGAACCCGGGCCGCACGCATGCCAGGCGAGTGCGCTACCGCTTGAGCCACATCCCCAGCCCTCCCTTAATCTTAATACATATTTTTCTAGGGGTTTGGACAATCTGTAGTTGTTAATTCATAAAATAACTAGCATATATGTCTAATTGTTTAATTAATATATATTATCTAATTGTTTTTCTTCAATAGAAAACACATAATTTATATATTACTTATACATGCATTTCTCTGATTCTCTGCCTTTTAATTACAGGTATTTGAGATAAATGTATTTTACTATAAATTTACTTTCAAGAGATAATACAACCATCAAGTAATCTGTCTCAAATTGTTTTACAAACTTTATAAGGTAATAAACAAATATAATTAATTCTGTCTACAGAAATATCCAAGGGCTTTAACTATATTTTCATTTGAGGTGTTTCTTCTTATCAAGGTAAAATAATTTGTTAGATTCTAAGGTTTTCAAATATTGTTTCAAAGGAAAACCAGGCAGAATACTAAAAGAAAAAGAAGATACTTCCACAGAGAGGAAGCACACATTGGAGGTCCTAAGAGGAAGTAATGAATCATCTTTCGGTAAAACAAGTCTTTGTATTCTGGATTTTAATGATAAAAGTATTTTCCAAAAAGAAAAATATTTATATCACTATGTAGACAGATGATATAGAAAGTTAAACAATTTAAAAAGAGATTTATATGTACTGGACTGACTATAAATTATTTCCAAGATCTTTCATACTGATTAATTCAAGAGGATTTCAGGCTATTTTCTTGATTCTACTGTGCTGATGTGATGTGGTCTTTATTGCCTAATGATTCTCATTGTTTAAGGCAAGGATTAATTTTAGTAAATAAATTCACATCCTTGATTAAACACTAAATATATTTAACTGCTGACTTAGATTCCAAATTTGACAATTGTCCTTAGAGACTAAATTTGATGGCTTCAAAGACCTTGCTGAAATTTACAAATTACTTTTTTTTTTTTTTTTGCTGGATAGTTGTGAGATTTGGGAGAACATTGACATTCTTCAAATTAAAGTGGTACATTGGTTTTGAGCAATAAAGGTTACAAACTTTGTTGAAAATTCTTTGGTATTATATAAGTTCTTTGATTGGACCTATTATCCATAAAAATGGTAAGATTTACATACTACTTCCTACACTGGAAAGTAAGCTTAACCATATTTTCTCAAAGACAATTGAGAGACACCTATTTAAAGGATAATATTCTGAGATATAGAGATATTTTGGAAACTTCTCTCTGGAAGAGATAGAGGGCTCCCTATAATTTAAGTTAATGATACTATGATTTATACCAGCCTTTTAAATAAAGAAAGGGGAAAAAGAGGACCCCTTACAAATATCTAATGTTTGTAAGCATATACTAGATCTAACATTTAAAAATTTTTAAATGTTAGATCTAGTATATGCATTTACAAACATTTAAAAATTTTTTTCTTAAATTGTAATATTGAGAGGTTTACTGTTATTCAACATGATTCAGTAAATTAAATCAGATTTCAAAGGGAAGTTGAAACTTCTCATGATGAAAATGACTGAAAAGCCTGAAATAGTAAGGTAAATCTCCCAACTGCAGAATTTATAGCCATGCAGCTTCATGAGCTTTCCAGGTAAGTAAAAATTATGAAGTGATTTTTATGGACTCATTCTCAGGTCCACCTTTAATGTGCCTTGAAGTGTGGACTGGAAAGTCCACCCATGTAACTAGATTAATTGTACTGACTGTAATATTCAATTATTCCTATGTGTTGGTCTTATGATAAACAGGCTGTCTGCGAGTATCTTTTGAGAAAAAGACAGCATATAAAAAACCTAAACCAGCCAATCATGCTGGTCCTTAAAAGTTAAGACTATATTTATTTTTCTGGACAATTGTCAGAAAGATTATTAAAATAGATTTTTTCTATATGTACATAAGATATCCACTAACATATTACTCTCCTACTCATTCTACAATAGGAATTGACACTTTTCCTATGTGATTATATTATGCAAGTGTCTTGCCAGTGAAACAGAAGATATCTAGAAATAGTGGATATATTTTAGGCTGGTCTCCCAGAATTGACAAAGCTGATTATGCAAGGATGCCATAACCCTTGGAAGTTTATTGGTAATAATCTAACCCTCAATGAGTTGGCACCCAAAAGGATGTTTTGATGTTTGAATTCTACCTTCAAAATATTTACATTACTGACAGACCTAAAAACCTCCTTAAATGTGAGAATTAAGAGAAAGGATGATGAATATCCTGTAGCTGGTAAGAATACAACTTATCTTATTGTATCACTAGTTATTGCCAGCTAATATTTCAGACCTATAATATGCTGAAGTTAACATTCAGGCTTTGAAACAGATGCATGCCAATTAACTAGACCTAGGCAAGCTCCTGATCTCATGATCCTTGAAGTGACTACATTAAATATTATTTCTTGCTTCTATAATTATAGGCTTTATGATGATGGTTTAAACTTACAACATGTGAATTTTCTTAAGATTTGACTTAAATTACTTTTAAGATCTTTCATACTCAGATAAGTTGTGATGGAAGAATTTGAACTAAGTTAAAATACTCTAGAAGACAATATTCTGAATAATGCAAATGAGCCTTCTGCTCTATGGTTTGTGGATAGGCTTAAATGCTATGCCAATTAAATTCACTTGTGTTACTGTGGCCAAACCCAATGCTTCCCAATAAATTGAGAAAAGATTAAAAATCTTCTGATGAGTGTTTGTCAGAGTAATAATAATAACCTGGATCTTGTAAGTTGACTATAAATTATTGAAATGATATGTTTTCTACTAAGTCTTTTTGTGTTTCAATAGTAGATTATGATGACCTCGGACCGAGAATCTGGGTGATTAAATCATGTAGTACCCAATTGCCTTTAAATATTAATCAAGGGGGAATTTGTGGGTAGCTCCTCCAAATTCAGGCACCTTTAGTTGTGAGGCACCATGGGGGTCTGAAAGAGCACTGTAGTCTGGCGCAGTAGTGCCATGACTCATATTCCATTTTTTTCCCTTGCTTGGATAATAAGGCATGGCACCCAAAGTGTTGAGTATGGGGAGCCACTCTGAATGATCTGCTCCTTCCATCCTAGGGGGCAGAGACTTTGACTGGCACTACATATTGTAGTGATCTGGACATTGTCCTGGTCCAAGAAGTTTGAGGGTGCATCTTCAGATGTAGGCCTCTCACCCCATGGCCCTTTGGGTCAATTACACTCACCTGTCCTTTGTATCCCTGCCACTTCTGATGTTTTTTTGGATGGAACTTTCTAAGAATGAGGGTCTCCCAATAAAAGCCCACTTCTGAATATGCTCATTCTCTCACCAGACTCCGGTGACTTTCTCTTGCTCTCCCATTTGAGGAGCCTGAGGCAGAGAGTGGAGAAACCATCCTGAAGCTTGATTAAAGGTAAAGTGTGAGTCTGTGTTTTCTTTGGTTGGAAATTCACATGAGCGACCTTAAGTTCAGCTGCCCATGTGGGCAGCAGTTGAGCTACACTCACCTGTTCCCTTGTAATCCTACCCCTTGCCTCATTTGAATGGCTTCTTCCCAAGAAAAGGTTCAACCTGTGCTCCTCTCTCTCTTTCCACAGACCCCAAGGTTTCAGGAGCCATCGCAAAACCCAAAGAAAAAGGTGTTTCTCTGCCTTTGTGTGGTTATTACATGCAGCCCAGTTCTCCTTGAATGACCTTGCGTGTTCAGTCCTGAGACTCAACAGGGAATGGGTGTGTCTATGAAAGAAACATAAAGACATGAGTACTGATATGAGATTAATACAAGATAAATGTCTCATCATCTGGAACATGTCAATAAATATCCTGAAGATGATAGAAATCAATAATCTCTCACCAGGAGGTGTCAGAGCTGAGAAGTTGTCCTCATAATAAGGCCTAAAAGGCCAGAGAGGACAAAGCTAAATTTGGGAATGTAAATCTTTAACCTGGTCAGAGTTATCAAGAATGTAAACACAACATTTAGTTAAGTTACTTAATGCCATCTTATTTTTGTAAAATATCTTTTTATTAAAATGACCTCTGTTTTCATTTTAGCTGTATTTGTTAGGTATTCAAGATCGAGCTGGTCAAAGTGACCTTGTTCTTATCTATCATTAAGAGTCAGCTGAGTTCTCTTGGGGTCTCTGTTGGGGAACTAATGAGCAGCTCTTTAGCTCTGCTAATGCCATCTACCAGGATAAGTCAAGGTCTCACTGACCATGTGGCTTCCCTAGGAAACACCAGGGATATCTATCTTTTCCAGTGATTCTCCTCTTTTGGAGTATGTGTACTGATTGGATTTCTTTTTTTAAGGTCCCAGTAATCCACCTGATTGGGAGGTCATGTGAACCAGAGTTGCAAAGCTCTTAGAGAAGTTCTCTTGTTCCCTGGTTTCAAGCTGACTCAGAGGAGAAGATCCAAATATTTGTTTTCTTGCCCACCCTACCCCCCTTACCCTTAATGTTTAAGCCTTGATCTTAAATATCCAGCAATCCAGTCTTAAAGTAAGAATACTTGGTTTTAACTTTAATATTTATAACTTTACAATCATCTTTGCCCCTTTTATTTAATTAGGGTCTCTATTAGTATTGGAAGTTAGCATTATATACTATCTGTCTATAGATGATAGCCTTTTAGGTTGTTATATTTGAAGTTGTACTTTTGTAAGATGCTAACATATAGCAGTTAAAGTTTAAACAAAAAATTTGAAATTAACAAGAGTAAAAACTCTTGAAATTAACAAGAGTAAAAAAAGATATTTAGTTTGTACATAGTCTTAAACCTTAGCTGAGTTATACATTATATCCCATGTTTGAGACCACAGCAATCTTTAAAATATCAATCTTTTGAATATACCTTTAAATGAATTGAATCTGGCCTAACTGATTGTGTTAATTAACACAATATGACATTATCTGAAATAAGAATGAAAGAAAGGCTAAGAGAGTTTTAACTTTCTTTTTGTTTTAAAAGCTTAATCTTTAAGCAGATCAGTCCCTCATTATCTTTTAGAAATACATTTACATTTTTATCCCAGTGTAACAAGTAACATAAGGTTTAGATTTGGTTATAGAACATTCAATGATATAAATAAATCCTGAATAAAATTTGTTATCCTTATAAGTCTAAAATTACCATTACAGACAACTTTAATTTGGAGACCACTACCTTAATAAAATGTTCTTTCAAAACTTTTACTTTCAGGGATGGGGTTGTGGTTCTGCAGTAGAGTGCTTGCCTAGCATGTGTGAGAGTCTGAGTCACTGGGTTCAATCCTCAGTACCACATATAAATAAACACACATATAAAAATAAAACAAAAGTTTTACTTTAAAGACTTCTATACCTGAAATATGTGAACACATTTAATATACAAAGAAGTATACAGTGCGATAATTACTTTGATGTTTAAATATTAATCAAATTTAGCTTTTACAGAAAAATCTAGGCTCTATAATTTAGTTCAATACTATAAAATAACAATATAAACCCTGATTTTTAACACCAATTCCTGTAGGTAGTAAAACTTAACAGACTCAATGTTAAGAGTAAATTCATATTTGAAGAAATCCTTGTCATTTCAACATATCTATTAAACTTTGGTTTATATCACTACATCAATATTTGACTTTAGGGAAAAACCTTGAGTAGATTTAACTACTTATGTGTAACCAACTTAATTGTACACAAACCTTTTAATATTTACCTTTCATTTATATAGACATTTTTATCACTTAATTTATTCTCTCTCTCTTTTTTTATTTAGATGTATTACTATTTTACTTCATAAAGACTTTCTTACCCAGTGGAAGTCCTTTCCAGCATCTGGATGACCATCTTAAGCATCAGCTGCCATCTTAAAAAGGTTTGCTTTCCCGCCCAATGGTAACTGACCATTCTTTCATTATTTAGCCAACATCATCCTTTGCACTCTAATAGTGTCAAAATTAATGAAGAACACGGACACCTAATTCTTATTTTATAGCCAGTTTATTAGCTTCCAACACCAGAAGGGCCATGACTGAAAGGGCCCATAAGCAGCCTTGGGCTAAATATAGAGTCCAGCTGATTAGATAGATAGGCCAGTGGATGTGCCATGTTCCAGCATTTGAGTCAGGACCCCTACAGCTATTCCATACCATTCATGGATATACAGGAAGAAGGCTTTGTGAGGTCAGGGAGTCCTAGTCCAGGTGCATTGGTGAGTGCTTCTTTAGTGTCCTCAAAGTCCTTTTATTTTGTTTGCCCCCCAAATAGCAGATCCTGTTCTCTCCTTTTTGGGCCTTCACAGAGGGGTTTTGCCATAACTGAAAAGTTGGAGATCCATACACAGCAGAATTCAGCAGCACCAAAGATCTCCGATTTGACAGCAGGTTGAAGGGACTGGAATTGAGCAGGTCACCTGTTTCCTCTTGTAGCCCAGTTGCCACTGTCCCCGAGTCATACAGAAACCAAGGTTCTTTACTTTTCTTGACAGATCTGGGCTTTATTTTTTGAAAGTTTGTAACCAGCCTTAAGTAGGAGAGTGAGATGCCACTGTGTTCCTCTTTTGCCGTCTTCTCTAGTTGCTCCAGCCAGGAACAGATCATCTACACATTGGAACAATGTGCATCCACATTGTTTTGCAGGAAAGGCTTCCAAGTCAGAAGCCAGCACCATCCCAAAGATGGTTGGTGGGTTTTTGAAGCCTGTGGTAACCTCATCCAGGTCAATTGGCCTTTGTTCCCATTGGAGTCTCCTTATTGGAAGGCAAAGAGTGGCTGACTCTGTGGTACAAGATGTGTGCAGAAGAAGGCATCTTTATGGTCCAGACATGTGAAATAGCCCACCTCAGCTGGGGGCAGACTTAGGAGATTATGTGGATTGGGAACCACAGGATGTAAGGTGACTCTGGCTTGATTTTCTGCATGTAAATATTGGACTGGCCGATAATCATTAGTTTCTGTTTCTGAACAGGCAAAAGAGGTATATTTCATGGTGATTTGTGAGTTCTGAGAATTCCATATTGTAAAAGTGTGTCCAAATGTTTTTGAATTCCAATTTTTGCCTTATAAGGAATATAATGTCATCTCAGCGTACCAGTATGGCTTCAGGTTCAAATTTTATCACCACTAGGAGAAAATTTTTGGCTAGTTGAAGTGGGTTGGCCTCTGTCTATACTTCTTGTAGTTGGAAAGGGATGTCTGTTTCCTGTTGTGATGTTTCCACTAGGTTGAAGAGGTGCCATCATCTTTCCAGGGAATTGTGAGGGTCAAAATATTTGATTCAGGTTTTTCCAGTGATCTCACTGACTGGCCTTTTGTATCAACAGTTATCTGGGCTTGGAGCTTTCCTACCAAGTCTCAACCTATTAATTGAACTGGGCAATCTGGCATGTTCAGTATCTCATGGACTTCTTTATAGCCTGCTAAATTTCAATGCTGTGGTAACAGGAAAGGATGATGAGTTTTGTTTCCTGGGACCTCACAATTGTGGTCTCTTTCTTTGAAAGTGGGCCCACATGTTGGGTCACAACCAAATGTTGAGCCCCAGCATTCACCATAAATTCCATAGGTTTTTTCCCTATAAGTGTTGAACCATAGTCTCCTGGGGTCCCCAAAATGGAGCCCAGTTGTTCCTATTCCTCATCATAATTTTCCATAGCTTCCATTCCAACAAAATTTTTCTCATGGGCATCATAGGGGTGTCTGGGTATTGAGCATCATGGGGGACACATTTGTAGGACTGGTATCATGCTTGAATAACTTGGACTCTCTTATCCTGGTAAGGAATAGCAGGAACTCAGTGAGCTTTCTTCAGTTTATTTTTCCAGGGCCCTCTAGATGGCTGTGGGTGCATGGTTTAGTCTCAGTCTCAGTCTAATAAATAATAATAATACAGGTGAGGAGGTTGGTTGAGACCATTCCTGTGCCTTGCATGTGGTCCCTATTTTGATATTTGTTTTGGCTTTGTCCTGGTGGGAACCCCTTTTGGTGATTTCTTGGTTTATATTAAGGGCAGCTGCAAGGAGAAACCATCTTCATCTTTCAGTCTGCTGGGTCTCTTGGTCTTGATTGACAAACACTCTGGTGGCATTCTTCCCAGCAAAACCCTCTAGTGTTCTGTAGTTTTGGTGACTGTCACTCTTGGTCTGTCCCACAATGGTTGTGCTGTCCACCTGCTGGTTGTCTGGTGCCTCAGGATCATAGGGAGTGAAGAGTCAGAAGCTTCACAAGGTTGTTCATAGAACTGGCTGGGGCTTTCATCAGGCTTTTGGAGAACTTCTGACACCTTGTTCATGTTTAGGGCTCTCCTTCCCAGCTTTTAGGCCTCCTATGAGGGGTTGTTGATATCTCTTTAACTTTGGAGGTCTTTATCTTTGCTGGGGTCCCACCCTGAGTCTGTGTTGGGGTACAGGGCCTGGGCATGGGCTTGGATGTTGCCTTGTGCATGTTCTTCTAGCTTTTTAAAAGAGCTTTGGTCACCCATTTTCCCTCTTCTGAAGTAGCTGGCAGCATCCCCCCAGTGTTTTAGTCAGGTATTTTGCTGCTGTGACTAAAGCATCTGATGAGAATAATTTTAAAGGAGAAAAAGTTAATTTGAGGGCTCACAGTTTCAGATGTCTTAAAAGATGACTCTGTTGCTTGGGGCTCCAGTGAGGCAGGATGTCAAGGCAGAAAAATGTGGTAGAGGGAAACAGCTCACATGTTGATCAGTAAGATGAGAGAGAGAGAGAGAGAGAGAGAGAGAGAGAGAGAGAGAGAGAGAGAGAACATGAACAAACTTGCCATAAACAAATATATATCTAAAGTCACACCTCAATTCCCACCTTCTCCAGCCACACCCTACCACTTTAGTTATAACTCAGTTAATCCCTGTTACGGGATTTAAATAATTAATAGCGTCAAGGGTCTTACAACCCAATTATTTCTCCTCTGAATCTTCTTGCATTATCTAAAATGTGAGCTTTTGGGGGACACTCACATCCAAGCCTTAACAAGGAGGTAGGTTAGTGGGTCTGGATAATAGATTGCATCATATCAATCATGGTCTGAGATTTCTCTGTTTAGATGGCAGTGTGATTTTTCCAATTTCAGAGATCATTGGAGGCAAAAGCCTGATACTTGAAAATGCATTGAGCCCCTCAGACGATTTCTTCCTGGACAACATAGGCAGGTCCTCAAGTTTCTCACAGGGGCATCTGGAGAGCTCTCAGCTGGGTTCTTTCTCTGGTCTTAGGCTGGGTTCCCATCTTGATATTACAAGGTGGAGGAGGATTCTTTGGCCCTTGGGAAGCCTCTGGCCTTGAGGGCCTCATAGGGGAAGGAGTAGCTGTTTTGAAGAGCCATAATCAGCTGTTTCTGGGGATTAGGGGCTGAGGGGTCTGCCCATTGTCTCAGTGGTCTTGGAAATGTTGTGTAGAGAGGCAGGTAAGGTGGTGGGTTCTCTTCTGCCTCACCAGGCTAAGCTGTTTTTTTTTTTGTCAGATTTTCTTTTCTTAGTTGCCTTTTTTGGGTCTTAGAGGATGCTGTAATCTGAGCCAACCTCAGCGTGGGTTGTCCATCTAGACAGGCTCTCAACCAAGGGGTGTGTTTCTAGGCTATCTCTTGCCAGCAATCAAGGAACTATTCTGGGTGTCCAGGAGTTTCCGCAACTATTCAAAAGACCTCAGCAATGACGCTTCCAATTAAAGATCCTTCTGGTGGCCAGCCCACACCTAAGCTTGGCCATTCTAATTCACAGAGAGAACACAACTTTGCTGAGTGAATTTCACCCCATAGACTCCCCTAAAACCTTTCTTAAGGTTTCTCAACAGACATTCCAAGGGGATTAAGGGATTCCGTTATTTTGTGTGCCTCCCATGTTCTACCCTGCATTGGTGTCACACAATTATGACAATAATCACTTGGTACATCTCCAGTTTCTCTCCTCTCAGGACTGAGTGTCTGCTTAGCCTTTTGGGTCCATATCAATCCCCAACCTGGAGCTTCCACCTAGATGTTGGTTGGTGGAATTCTGCCACAGACAGAATGAGGTTCCATGGAACCATGAATTGGGGCTCAGCACTCACTTTGGTACTTTAATTACATCTGAATTCTTTCCTTGTTCACCTCATTTACACTTTCACATAGACATTTTTTTATGGGCCAGGCTATATGAGCAATGACCAAACAGACTCCATTTATCCTGAGACTCCATGTCATGTAAGAAATGCTTCTCCCATGAGAAAATTCTGCCTCTGCCATCCTGATCCTGCTTAGCACACCCTGCTTAGAAACACCTTTTTTTTTCCTGTTCTTATGCCATGTAAATATTTTTGTTTTCCATTTTTCTTGCATAAAGTACTCTGTCAGAGAATTATTGCCTAGATATTAGTAACCATTCTTTAAGTTGTCCTCAACTAGAGTTATTTTGACCCACTTCCCTTTCTGCTTAGGATTTTAGATCTCATGTTGTTTCTTTAGTTTGAATCATAGCAATAGCCACTTATGATTAATGTGGTTTTGGACTATTCCTTGGAGGGGTTCAAAAGGTGTAAACTTGCAGTCTTCCCCTTAGCCCATCAGCTGGTAAATCCTGACTGCCAGCTAGTGAATAAACATTTCATTTCCTGCTTAGGATACACTCAGTGATTTATTTCAATCTCACCACAATAATGGTCAGAGCAAAATTTCAAAACCCCCAAATTACACAAACAGGGAGTCATGGTTTCCCCTATGCTTGCTGACCCCAAACAGAGACTAATTAGGTGACTCTCTGGATCCTTTTTGGTTTCAACTCCTTTTGGAGGGTTATTCAGGACCCTCAGATTTTGAATAAGTCTCTGTCCCTACTACCTAGGCCTCTTGGGGTAAGTCAGATGGTCTACCACCGAGGGACCCAGGA